AAAAAAAAAAAAAAAAAGAAATCGATTCAGAGGTCCGCAAATCTTCAAACAACAAGATTAGGGCAAAATGCATAAATGAAAAAAGGTTAATATAGCACATTTCCCGATGGAGAATCCGAACCTTAAAGATTAACAACTAGGTCGACGTCTTATCTGCAGAAATTAGGGCAAAATGCTCGATCTCAACCTTTGTACCACGAATCCTCCGATGAACGGACATAAATGAAATAATGTAGTATGGAATAGGTAAATATGGAGAGTGTGAAGCTAACCTTCACGACGGAGAATCCTAAGCTGTAACCTTCTCTTCAATGGCGCTGTGGCTGCTGCAAGTAGGGCAACAATGAGGTCGATAGGTTTAATTGGTATGAAGATGTAAATTGTGGCAAATTAAGGGGTGTTTTTGTCTTTTTCCAACAGTTTTTGAGGGTAGAATAGGTAAGATAAAATCGAGACTAAATTATCACACCCCTATGGTGGGATTTTTTTATCAGATAACATGGGTTGGAGCGGCTGCCACATGGGCGCCAGGTCATTAAAATCTCATCCCTATCCTGCAAAGTAAATGTAGGATAATCGAGACTAATTGTCTTATCCTGTCCCTATCCTGCAAAGTAAATGACCCCTAAAAGTCAATTTTTTTCTTTACTATAGATAAACGACTTTTAAGTGATTTTGCTAGAATTGGATGGAACCGGACGGAAGAAAGCCACGAAAACGGCCCAACATTACCCATTGATGATGCTTCGCGCCAATATTACCTTTTATTTTTGAAATTAAATTGTTTATTTACTGTATAAATTAAATTTTTAAACAAAATATTGGCTAATATAAAAAATATTATTTAGATATTAATTTTATTTCATATTCTTTTATGATAGTTTTAAAAATTTGGCTTATATTATCACTAATAACTTTATTTTGAATCCAAAATCATGCAATGTTTCGAAAAATCGAGCTAGGCATCGACTCTAAGTTGCACCTGAGTGCCCCAATTTTCGTTTAGACACCCTTCTAAACATTCAAACAATTAGGCATTATCTAAGCGGGCTAGGCGGTGCAGTTGCAAAGTCACTCCTACACTGATTAGACGATCTAGACGGAGACCTTTCAGTTCAAGCGCAGCGTAGGCCCCCGTATATTATTTTCTATTTTTTTTTAATTTATTTTTCATACATAATAAAATAGATTTTGAATTAGCAAATTTGATTGATGATTGAATTAGTTGTTGACTGACTTAGCAGTTTTTGTTTGCTGATAGAATTAAGCGATTAGTAGAATTGTGATAAATAATTATGCTATGTCTGATAAAACTAACTGGTAAGTTAACTGATAGTTGAAAGTTGGTTGGTAGCTTATAAAAGTGTTTTTGGTTAAGTTATAACTTATTTGGTTAGTTTATAAGCTTCGTGTACTCAAATAAGTTTGGTTTGGTAGGATAAGTTTTCTGAAAAACTCGAGCTTATATCATAAGTTTTTTTGGGTAGCTTTTCAAATAAACCCGTTGAAATATCTATTTCGATTGTCTTATCAGCTAATTTACCAAACACTTTTATCATACAAATAAACTTTCCAGTCATCAGCCATAAGTTATCAGCTATAATCTCGAAACTCGCTTATCAGCTATCAACTAGGTTTACCAAGTATAACCTAATTGAAAATCGAGCTTATACTTATAGCTTATGACTGAAAAACTAGCTGATACAATAAAAACAGTTTGTTAAAATTATATGATAAGCAGTTGAAATAAAAATTTAAATGTGCTTATTTGAAAAGTTTCCACATAAGTTTACCAGATGAGCTGAGCTTTTTTTTAAAAAAAATAAAAATAAAATAAAAATTGTCCTGTCAAACCAAGTTTATTTGCATGCACTAATCAAATAAGTTATAAGCCTATGGTGCTTACCCAGCACACTCTTATGAGCTATCAACTAACTTAATCAGTTATTAGCTAATTCATCAAATCGACTTTGATCATTATATTTTAATACAAATCCAAAACACTACACTCAAACCTAACTCAATCGAGTTTTTCAAAATCTACTCTACTTACACGAACAAATTCAATCAAAATCAAAATAAAATATATATAATCACCCTTAAGATTCCAATATCATACCAACTTTTACCACGATCTCTTTTTTTTTTTTTTATTTATTTTTTTTTTTGTTTTTTCCCTTTTTGGGTTCGTCCAGTTTCATTCATCTTTAGTTTATTACCCAAGTTTCCCACAGGAGTTTATTACACAGACTATTAGCAGTCCCAAGATTCTCATATACATCTCAAATCACACAGTACAATGTTTTTAACCATACATCTCATCACATGGAAAACAAACAACACCATCAACTGCTTTTATTTAGCTCTTATTAATCTTTTGACTTAGGTGCATACAATAAAACGAAGAAAAAACTCCAAAATATTGTAATACAATGTTTAGTTTTTGTTGGATGGGCACTTTACATTAACCCATCCAACCTTCCCATTCTCGTTATCGTAGATCACCAGTTTATCCAGAAACGAAATGTCTGCGCGCAAATGAAATTGTTCTTCACAATTAATCAAAACCAATATAAAATAAAAATAAAAAATAAGATAATATTAATTCTGGCCAATTTCCTAATTTTCTATTCCATCTCGTGCTTCTTCGTTAGTTGGATGAACGACACGTATGCATGTATCTGATATGATGATGTCATATTTGTACACGTGTCGCTCATCTAAACAGAATGAAAAATGAGATATATATTATACAGTAGTCTTAAGGAAAATTAATTACCTCCAATCAAATTCTGATTTTTTAAACCGATTTCATCTCCATTCAAGATGCCTAAGCATACGTTTCCACTTGTCTGAAACAAGGAACAACATAACACAAGATCAATGAAAGTAGTTATATAATAATCTAAAGTAAAAGAAAAAGAAAAAAAGGTCGAAAAAGAGAGTCCGTCTTACGGTGACAATAAGGTAAGACGTCGGGTCCATTTGAAACTTAACGTTGTTCGGGAAGCTTAAAGTCAAAGATTGAAAGTTGGCGGCGACATCTGTTACAGATTTGAAGGTTTTGCCCGTTGATGATTTCCAGCAAACCGGAAGGGCTGCATCCTTTACCGGAGCTAAGGGTTTTCCGTTCAAGTACCCGTTTATCTAGGGGGAAAAATAAAAGAGAAAAAACAATGTTTATTTACAATTGGTTGTACAAAAATTTCATCATTTTTGTTAAGCTAAGATTTATCTCATTCAAACAACAAATATATGGAAAATGCTACGGTCTAGTTACGGAATCATTCCGTCGGGGTTTGTAACC